GACCTTTTCTCCAGCTCTGACAGGGCCACAGGAGACTCAGGAAGCCACCAGTCCTCTCTGACTTGGACTATGGCAGTGACTGCTTCCTGGGTCCCTCTGCTTTCACTGGGGCCCTCCTCCATGTGCCCATCTTCCCAAACCCCTGATAGCCAAAGCTGACTTTCAAACAGGGCAACCTCATTCTTGGTCAGTGAGCAGCCACAGCAAACACTGTAGCTCCTGCTCCTGGTCCACCAGGCTGTGGCCAGTTGCCCGACTGGGAGCTCTTGCTGGCCTGTGCAGCATGGTCACGCTTGCTTCACCCTCCTGTCCAGGAGTTTTTCAAAGGTATTCTCTCTTCTGTGAGCAATTTTCTTCATCTTCTATTTCCCTAACACCTAAACTTAAACAGTACTGCCTTAGAACACTCATCTTTGAAACCTCTAAACTAAATTATGTCCCTTCTCCATTGTGCCCTACTTTTTCTCACCAGGACACTTATTGCAACTTATAATCATAAATGCATTTTTTTGTAAATTATTTTGTGTGAGACCTCCCACTAGGACTGCTCCAGGAACACAGAGATAAGGTCTAGGTTTGTTAACTACTATAGACCCAGGACCTAGTCCAGGGCATGGTAGATTTTTTTTTTCTTAGTGAAAAGAAGGAATAAACATACAACATGAGAATAAAGCAAAGCCCAAAAGACCAAAAAGAGGAATAAAACATAAAGGTATGGAAAAAGGAAAATGTGCTTTTTTCCTGAGTCAGCTCAGTGAATTTCTCCAGCTTTTTGTCTGATGACATGAGTATTTAGCAAGTTCTGTCCTCTTGCAAAGGACTAACTCTCCACTTTAAAATATTTCTGCAATAAAGGGCAAGAAAGAATTTGGGTCTCTAAGGGATAGAAATTAAATTACTTGGCCAGGTATGGTGGCTCATGCCTGTAGTCCTAGTACTTTGGAAAGCCAAGGCAGGAGGATTACTTGAGGTTACAAGTTCAAGATCAGCCTGAACAACACAGTGAGAGCCTATCTCTATAAGACAAAAACAAAAACTTAGGTGGGGCTGGGCACAGTGGCTCACGCCTGTAATCCCAGCAATTTGGGAGGCTGAGGTGGGTGGATCATGAGGTCAGGAAATTGAGACCATCCTGGCTAACATGGTGAAATCCTGTCTCTACTAAAAATACAAAAAATTAGCCAGGCGTGGTGGCACATGCCTTTAGTCTGAGCTACTCAGGAGGCTGAGGCAGGAGAATTGTTTGAACCCTGGAGGCAGAGGTTGCAGTGAGCCGAGATCTCGCCACTGCACTCCAGCCTGGGCGACGGAACGAGACTCTGTTTCAAAAAACAAACAAAAAAAACCAAAAACACCCCAAAACTTAGCTGGGTGTGGTGGCATATGCCTGTGGTTTCAACTACTTGGAGGCTGAGGTGGAAAGACTGCTTGAGACCAGGAGATTGAGGCTGCAGTGAGCTGACTGCACCACTGCAGTCCAGGCTAGGCAACAGAGCAAGACCATGTTCCAATAACTAACTAACTAACTAACTAACTAACTAACTAACTAACTAACTAACTGGTCCCTAGGTTAAATATCTCAAGGAAAAAGGAAGAGAACATTTAAGAAAGGGAGAAAGAAAGGTGCTGTCTGCTGGCAATCACCATGGGCTGGGAGTGAGGTAATATGGTCTGGAGTAGCTCCACCAGGACACAGAGTCACTAAGGAATCAACACGTCCCCTCTTTGCCTCAGGTTTCATTATAAATTACCTCCGGCCGGGCGCGGTGGCTCAAGCCTGTAATCTCAGCACTTTGGGAGGCCGAGGCGGGTGGATCACGAGGTCAAGAGATCGAGACCATCTTAGTCAACATGGTGAAACCCCGTCTCTACTAAAAATACATTAGCTGGGCATGGTGGCATGTGCCTGTAATCCCAGCTACTCAGGAGGCTGAGACAGGAGAATTGCCTGAACCCAGGAGGCGGAGGTTCTGGTGAGCCGAGATCGCGCCATTGCACTCCAGCCTGGGTAACAAGAGCGAAACTCCGTCTCAAAAAAATAAATAAATAAATAGATAAATAACCTCCAAGGCCAGTGTTCTCTTTCGGCTTAAAAAAAAAAAAAAAAAAGCTGCCCTCTTCTGCCAAAACGGCCAAATAGGAACAGCTCCAGAGTGCAGTTCCTAGCAAGAGCCATGCAGAAGAGGACTGATCTCTGCATTTCCAACTGAGGTACGAGGTTCATCTCAATGGGACTGGCTGGAGAGTAGGTGTAGCCCAAGGAGGGCAAACTAAGGCAGGGTACGGTACTGCCTCACCCAGGAAGTACAACAGGCCAGAGGACCCCCCCATCCACCCAATGGAGGCCACTGGGGACTTCTCTGGCCACTCCGGTTCAGATACGGTGCTTCTCCCACGGCCTTTACAGCCTGCAGTCCTGGAGATTCCTGCCCAGCTGACAAGCGCCGTGAGTTTCCAGCACAAATCTGGACAGCTGTTTTAGCTGGTGCCTGGAATGCCTGTGAGACAGAGCCACCCATTCCCCTGTAAAAAAGGGGGCTGAAGGCAGTGAACCAAGTGATCTGGCTTGGCAGTTTCCACCCCCACAAAGACTAGCAAACTGAAACCTGCTGGCTTGAGAGTTTCACAGCCAGCATAACAGTTTGAGCTCCACCTGGGATGGTAGAGCTCAGTGGGGGACAGGGTGTCTGCCATCAGTGAGGCAGTCCACCATTACCGAGGCAGTTCTAACCTTACCTGTGTAAACAAAAGCACAAAGAAGTTTACACAGCAGCTGGGCAGCACCCAAGGCAGCTCAGCAATGCCTCTGCAGGCAGACTGCGACCAGACTCCCTGTTTGCTGGGCAGGCCATCTCGAAAAAAGGCAGCAGCACGTCAGGGACTTATAAATAAGGCCCCACCTTCCTGGGACAGAGCACCTGGGAAAAGGGGTGGTTAGGAGTTCTGCTGCAGCAGACTTAAACGTCCCTGCCTAGCAGCTCTGAAGGGAGCAACGGAGTTCCTGGCACAGCACTCGAGCTCTGATAAGGGACAGAATGCTTCCTCAAGCGGCTCCCTGACCCAACCTAGCAAGGCAGGCCAACATTAAAATCCAGGAAATACACAGAACACCACAAAGGCCTGCCTTACAAGAGCTCCTGAAGGAAGCACTAAACAGGGAAAGGAACAACCAGTACCAGCCACTCCAAAAACGTACCAAACAGTAAAGACCATCAACACAATGAAGAAACTGCGTCAACTAATGGGCAAAACAACCAGCTAATATCAAAATGGCAGGATCATATTCACACATAACAATATTAATCTTAAATGTAAATGGGCTAAATGCCCCAATCAAGACACACACTGGCAAATTGGATGAAAAGTCAAGACCCATCAGTGTGCTGTTTTCAGGAGACCCATCTCATGAAGCAAAGACACACACAGACTCAAAATAAAGGGTAGGAGGAAGATTTACCAAGCAAATGGAGAGCAAAAAAAAGAAGGGGCTGCAATCCTAGTCTCTGATAAAAAGGACTTTAAATCAACAAAGATAAAAAGAGACAAAGAAGAGTATTACATAATGGTAAAGGGATCAATGCAACAAGAAGAGCTAACAATCCTAAATATATACACACCCAATACAGGAGCACCCAGATACATAAAGCAAGTACTTAACGACCTACAAAGAGACTTAGACTCCCACACAATAATAGTGGAAGACTTTAACACTCCACTGTCAATATTAGACAGATCAATGAGACAGAAAATTAACAAGGATATCCAGGACTTGAACTCAGATCAGGACCAAGTGGACCTAACAGCCATCTATGGAACTGTCTACTGTAAATCCACAGAATATACAGTCTTCTCAGCACCACACTGTACTTACTCTAAAATTAACCACAAAATTGGAAGTAAATCATTCCTTAGCAAATGCAAAAGAACAGAAATCATAACAACCAGTCTCTTAGACTACAGTGAAATCAAATTAGAACTCAGGATTAAGAAACTCACTCAAAACTGTACAACTACATGGAAAATGAACAACCTGTTCCTGAATGTCTACTGGATAAATAATGAAATGAAAGCAGAAATAAAGATGTTCTTTGAAACCAATGAGAATGAAGACACAACATACCAGAATCTCTGGGACACATTTAAAGCAGTGTCCAGAGAGAAATTTATAGCACTAAATGCCCATATGAGAAATGAGGAAAGATCTAAAATGGAAACCCTATTGTCATAATTAAAAAACTAGAGGAGCAAGATCAAACAAATTCAAAAGCTAGCAGAAGACAAGAAATAACTAAGATCAGAGCAGAACTGAAGAAGACAGAGACACAAAAAACTCTTAAAAATAATCAATAAATCTAGGAGCTGTTTTTTTGAAAAGATCAACAAAATAGATAGACCGCTAGCCAAACTAAGGAAAAAGAAAAGAGAGAATAATCAAATAGATGCAATAAACAATGATAAAGGGGATATCAACACTGATGCCACAGTAATACAAACTACCATCAGAGATTACTACAAACACCTCTATGCACATAAACCAATAAATCTAGAAGATGTAGATAAATTCCTGGACACTTACACCCTCCCAAGACTAAACCAGGAAGAAGTTGAATCCTTGAATAGAACAATAACGAGGTCAGAAGTTGAGGCAGCAATTAATGGACTACCAACCAAAAAAAGTCCAGGTTTAGATGGGTTCATAGCAAATTCTACCAGACGTACAAAGAGGAGCTCATATCATTCCTTCTGAAACTACTCCAAACAATACAAAAAGAGGGAATCCTCCCTAACTCATTTTATGAGACCAACATCATCCTCATACCAAAACCTGGCAGAGACACAACTAAAAAAGAAAATTTCAAGCCAATATCCATGATGAACATTGAAGCAAAGATATTCAATAAAATACTGGCAAACTGCATGCAACAGCACATCAAAAAGCTTATCCATCTTTTTTTTTTTTTTTTAATTTTAACAGTGTAAAGAGTTTTTTTTTAATTGTGTATATTTAAAGTCAATAAATTTTTATTCAAGGAATTCCATGTTGTGATTTCTTCCACTGTCCATCAAAGTCACTTCAGATCCTCTAAAGAGCTGCAAGTTAGCCCTTTTTAATGAAGCTGATGCTTACTTTAATCCAGTTGTCCTGTCAGCCCATTAATTTATTTTGGCTTCTGTCATCTCCTTTTAATACGGATATACTGATGAAGACTTCAAAATTCACCAAGAATCTTTGGGATCTACTTTCTTTAACCAATTTACTTTAGGGTCCTAGAAGTTGAACTTTTTATTGTAGGTGGTGGATCTGCCTGGTTCCAATTTGACACCCTTTCAACATGAATGAGTTCAAATCATATTCATTCCTAAGCAGTTACACTCAAGAATAGTACAGGTGTGGAAATATGCCAATACCTTTAACTCCAGACATCATGTTCTCAAGATAAAAGCCTTTAAAACAAAAAGCCATCTTAGATATCAACGTGAAATTGGAATGCAAAGTAATACTGCTGAGGATTTCCCTCATATCCCCTCATGTTTAACTATTCTACAGTCCGAGAATCAATCTTTCTAAATTAAGAGACAGGGTCTGTCTTTGTTACCAAGGCCGGAGTACAGTCCAAGCTCAGTTCAGCCTCCAACTCCTGAGCTCAATCCTTGTGCCTCAGCCTCCCCTTCCTGAGTAGCTGCAAGTACAGATACATGCCCCAATACCCAGCTAATTTTTACATTTTTGTGGAGATGAGGTGTTTGTTACTTTCTTGCTCAGGCTGGTCTTGAACTCCTGGCTTTAAGCAATACTCCCACCTCGGTGTGGGGATTCCAAACTTGAGCCACTGCACCTGGCCTGGAACCAACCTTTATGGCTATCAATACTCCCATCATAATATCCCTTCTTATATGTATCAGAACTCATACTGAACAATGAGTTCTGGGTTGCAAAAGAGGATTTATTTTTTGCACCTATCCATAAGTCTTTGTCCACAAGTTAAACAAAAACATACGTTAAGCGCAGTAAGCTTATCCATCTTGATCAAGTAGGCTTCATCCCAGGGATTCAAGGCTGGTTCAACATATGCAAGTCCATAAACGTAATCCATCACATAAACAGAACCAAAGACAAAAACCACCTGATTATCTCAACAGATGCAGAAAAGGCCTTGGACAAAATTCAACAGCCCTTTATGCTAAAAACTCTCAATAAACTAGGTACTGATGGAACATATCACAAAATAATAAAAACTATTTGTGACAAACCCACAGCCAAAATTATACTGAATGGGCAAAAACTGGAAGCATTCCCTTTGAAAACTGGCATTAGATAAGGGTGCCATCTCTCACCATTCCTATTCAACATAGTATTGGAAGTTTTAGCCAGAGCAATCAAGCAAGAAAAAGAGATAAAGGGTATTCAATTAGGAAAACAGGAAGTCAAATTGTCTCTATTTACAGACGACATGATTGTATATTTAGAATACAACTAACAAAGGATGTGAAGGACCTCTTCAAGGAGAACTTCAAAGCACTGTTCAAGGAAATAAGAGAGGACACAGATGGAGAAACATTCCAGGCTCATGGTTAGGAATAATCAATATTGTGAAAATGGCCATATTGCCCAAAGTAATTTATAGATTCAATGCTATTCCCATCAAATTACCATGGACCTTCTTCAAGAACTGGAAAAAAAAATCTTCAACTTCATATGGAACCAAAAAAAGAGCCCACATAGCCATGACAGTCCTAAGCAAGGAGAACAAAGCTGGAGGCATCACACTAACTGACTTCAAACTGTGCTAAAAGGTTATGGTAATCAAAACAGCATACTACTGGTACCAAAACAGAGATATAGACCAATGGAACAGAAGAGAGGCCTCAGAAGTAATGCCACACAGCTATAATCATCTGATCTTTGACAAACCTGACAAAAACAAGCAATGGGGAAAGGATTCCCTGTTTAATAAATGGTGTTGGGGAAAACTGGCTAGCCATGTGCAGAAAGCAGAAACTGGATACCTTCCTTTTACCTTATACAAAAATTAACTCTAGTGGATTAAAGATTTAAACATAAGACCTAACACCATAAAAACCCTAGAAGAAAACCTGGCAATACCATTCAGGACATAGGCATAGACAAGGACTTCATGACTAAAACACCAAAAGCAATGGCAACAAAAGCCAAAATAGACAAATCGCATCTCATTAAACTTAGGAGCTTCTGCACAGCAAAGAAACTATCATTAGACTGAACTGGCAACCAACAGAATGGGAAAAAATTTTTGCAAGCTACCCATCTGACAAAGGGCTAATATCCAGAATCTACAAAGAACTAAAAGAGGTTTACAAGAAAAAAACAAACAAACCCATTTAAAAGTGGGCGAAGGATATGAACAGACACTTTTTCAAAGGAAGACACTTATGCGGCCAGCAAACATACAAAAAAATGCTCATAATCACTGGTCATTAGAGAAAGGCAAATCAAAACCACATTGAGATACCATCTCATGCCAGTTAGAATGGCAATCATTAAAAAATCTGGAGACAACAGATGCTGGAGAGGATGTGGAGAAATAGGAACACTTTTACACTGTTGGTGGGAGTGTAAATTAGTGCAACCATTGTGGAAGACAGTGTGGCGATTCCTCAAGGATCTAGAAATAGAAATACCATTTGACCCAGCAATCCCATTACAGCTAGTGCTCGACTTACGACCACAGTTGGGACCGCGGACTGGTCGTAACACGATTTGGTTGTGAGTTGAGTAGGCTATATGTACAGTTGAAATGGTGCACATGGAGATGGTAGTGCTGCCGGAAGCTGGTCCGCACTGTCGTATGCCCAGCTGGGCAATGTTTGCGCTGCCAGACATGGAGCAGTCGTGGCTAGCGATTGTGGTTGTAAAGTCGAATGGTCGTAAGTTGCATAGGTGGTAAGTCGATCAATACCTGTACTGGGTATATACCCGGAGGATTATAAATCATTCTGTTATAAAGACACATGCACACGTATGTTCACTGCAGCACTGTTTACAATAGCAAAGACTTGGAACCCACCCAAATGCCCATCAAGGATAGATTGGAAAAAGAAAATGCAGCACATATATACCATGGAATACTATGCAGCCATAAAAAAGGATGAGTTCATGTTCTTTGCAGGGACATCAATGAACTTGGAAACCGTCATTCTCAGGAAACTGACACAAGAACAGAAAACCAATCTCTACATCTTCTCACTCATAAATGAGTGTTGAACAATGAGAACACATGGACATAGGGAGGGGAATATCACACACTGGGGTCTGTTGGGGGGTGTGGAGCTAGGGGAGGGATAGTAGGGGGTAGGGAGATTGGGAAGGAATAACATTAGGAGAAATACCTAATGTATACAGGTGGCAGGGGGATGGTGGCAGCAAACCACCATGGCATGTGTATACCTATGTAACAATCCTGAATGATCTGCACATGTACCCCGGAACTTAAAGTATATTTTTAAAAAAGGCCTACGGTTTTATTTATCATGCATTTATCTAATGATCATTCAACATGCAGTGGATCTATAAAAAAGCTGTGTTTACAGGCTCTGAACAGACTGCCTACCTGTGGTTAGGGAGTGCCTTTTGCATTAGTTTTTTGTTACCTTTGATTTTAGTGATTTATAAAACTTAAGTTTGTGTTGGTTACTCTAACCTGTAACACCTTGAGAAACCTCATAGAAATGTTTTCATTAATAGCTCAAGTTAAAGGAAGTCATCCAGAAGAGCAATGGACAGGGTACTCTTACATATTATATTTCTGAAATGTAAAGAATATTTCTGATAATGTTTCACAGTGCAGAGGACAGGAACCTTTTGATAGACTCTATCTGATCCTGAACAGGACTAGCTGCTTCAAAAAATTTCTTTTAATTTCAAAGTGGGCACTAATTGAGCTGTCAGCCATCAGAAGATAAGCGGTTACTGATGACAGAAAAATGACACTGCCCGAGCACTGGGAACAGACTGAGGCAGACAACTACGATCAAGGTGCGAAGTCAACTGAGACAGAAATTTACCGCAGGGTTTCATCAGCAACCACCTGACCTGGGCTGGGTGGGGAAGGGGGAACTACTGAGGCAAAAAAATCTGCCATAAGACACTGTGGTTTCTTTTAACCCAGGCTTAATTTCTTCTGACATGGTAATTTCTGGACTTCACAGAAAACACACAGTGATCAAGGTTGTTTTTAAGTTCAATGATAGATCTCTAGGGTAGAGCAGATAATGACAAGAGCTTAAGAAAAGCCATTCCAAAAAACAAGGAAACCAGACTTAGAGCTGCCTTTAGTTGGAACAGATCATTGCTTATGCAATTTTCCTTCTTCTGTGTGTGCTGTGTTGGTAAATCTGTACGAGCTGGGCCTAAATTTGTCTATCCTGTGGGACCCACAGAGCATTCCATATGTCATCTATGATCAGGAACCTGAAGGCAGAAATCACAGGTAGAAAATCTTCCAGGTCACACATCCGCATCTTCTAGTGATGTTTGTGCTATATGTACATATATAAAAAACTGCCTTAGAATGCATACTACTAAATGTGTCTCAAAGGCAGATACGTTCTCTAAGTTTTTCTTTCTAAATATATTAGCAAAGAATTAGTGGTGAATAAAGTACAGTTTTACTTCTATATTTATTTGATACATAAAATAGAGAGCCTGATCATTATCACAGCAAAAGAATCTAGAAAATATTAATGATCAGATCTTGTACCCAAAAGACATCTCAGCAGCTCTGTCCTCAAACTCAAGGCCAACAGTATGGCCCTTAGTTCAAAAGTTCATTTTTGTACACAGTCCAACCAAGTGTACACAGTCCAACCAAGTATACCCAGGGCAAGGCACTTGGCACTTCTTCTGCCCTGGACAACTCGATCCTAGGTCAGCCTTAATCTAAACATGGCTTGGTTCTAACTCAATTTTATCCCTTTTCTTTTAAATTCTAACACTCTACAACCATGCCATCTGGGATTCTATATCCCATTACATTTTTCTTTGTATCTACCTGTATAACCGTTAGCAGTGAGATTCTCCTTGAGGCTCAGTTTCAGCTGTAAAATGGGAATAATATCATCTAGCCTCAGTGTTGTGCAATCTCAGATGTGCTACAGAAAACGTATCACACAGAATGCACATTCATATTCTCTGAATAACTGGATGTTGTTTTCTTGTTTTTGAAGCTCATGCCTGGCCTTCTTTCACCCTACTACAAGCATATTCTCATTGGATATGTCACCACATGTATTCCAAAGTACAACTCCAAAGCATTCACAATGCCATTCACGCTGATAGCAATTCACCATATTTTGGCTTCTAATTTTTCTCTTTTCTCAACAAGTAAAATAAGTGCCGCTGAAGGACCTAGAGAGACAGCCTTCACAACGTGCATTGGTTGTGATTAGTCATAGGAAACAACTGCACTGTCAGTTTCATTGTTCCTTCTCATCAGGGTGACTCAGTCCCCCATTATCTCTGTTTGCTTGTCCCCTTGGAGTGTGTGTTCTGTGTCCTGAGATGAAGAAGCTCTACCAAGTTCCTCATTGCCAAGGTAACTAGTATTCCCTTCTTCAAAACCTAACACTGAACATGTGTCATTAAAAAAGCCAAGCAAAACAAAATCACAAAACAAAAACCTATGTTTGATGTATAGCTGTCTTGGAAAAGTCTATATAAATTTACCACAGATTTAGGGCAAAGGGTACAAGACTGGTCTACATCTACAAGTCATGGTAAAGACCTTAAAACTGACTTAATGGATTTCATAAACATACAAAGTCCAAAAAAGAATCATTTTTTTTTTCTGTAACTCCAAAAGAAACATTCTCCAACTCTAGACCTCAAGGGGACTTTCTGAAATTCACAGCATTTTCAAATAAAGTGCCTTTACTTGAAGATGATTCATAATTTACACAGGAGTGTATCCTGTTTCTCTCTCTGGCATCAGAAGGCAGTGTAATGTTAGGATGATTGCTTTTGTCTTTATATTAGAGAAGGGGTCTTGCCATCTTGCCTAGGCTTGTCTAATATTCCTGGGCTCAAGTGACCCTGCTTGCCTAGAACTCCTCCCACAGTGCTGGGATTACAGGTGTGAACAACCATGCCGGGCCAGGATGACTGTTAATTACCATTTCTTCACTATGTGTTTTCTTATTAATAGTTAAAAAAAATGATAAAGTGGCATCTATACTTTTAGTTTCTATTCTGTTGCAAATCTACCTTACTTCTTTGAAGACAATTAACATTGCTAGAGATAACTTCAAAATGCTATGCCAGAGTGGGTGTGGTGGCTCACACCTGTAATCCCAGCATTTTGGGAGGCCAAGGCAGGTCGATCACTTGAGGCCAGGAGTTAGAGACCAGCCTGGCCAACATAGCAAAACCTTGTCTCTACTAAAAATACAAAATCAGCCAGGCATGGCACATGCCAGTAATCTCAACTATTTGGGAGGGTGAGGCACGAGAATGTCTTGAACCCCAAAGGTGGAGGTTGCAAAAAACAAAAAAGGCTATGCCAAGGCTCTGAATGTAAACAAACAAACCTCTCTGTCAATCATGCATCTACAGCTATCTGTAAAAATCAACACCAAGAAGGGGCGAAATCTGAGCAGAGATATCACTTCTACTACAACTGTCTGCACTTCCTGCATTGGATGGTGCAGACAGACAACATTTACATCACTGCAGAAAGCTCTAGTAGGCAGTGCAGATGGTTGATACAGTACTCTCTGAAAGCCACAGGTTTAGCAATTGCTGTTATTTACTCTGATTTTCAAGACATATAAAACTGGGTCTTTTGAGGTGTGACAACCACATGTCTTGGCTTTTCCAGAACAATATCAATATTTCTTGTATGTTATTACGTTCAAGAATATGGAGCATTAAAGGTAAAAGAAAATGTGGCAAGTTTAATTTTTAATAGAACTTTAAAATTAAGTAGATAGATAAAATCGTTTGTCATACTATGTATCCCAAATTTTGATGCAAGGAAAAACAAAAACAGCTCATGTATATGGTGAATGCAGCTAAGAAGGTGCTCTGGGAAGAGTCTCCACTTCCTGGGCACTCTAAGTGATTGTTCCTCTCCACCCCACACCAGCATCTTGGCACTCACCGAGTTCCAGTTGACTCTGTGTGTCCTGAGCTGGCCCCCTGCTGACCCCTGGTGCTGTCTCTGCTGGGAAGAGAGTACACTCTTTGCACCACCACTCGGACCCCAGCTCCCGACCACAAGGCAGCTCCCTGGCTTTCCACCACGTCCAAGAGAGAATCCCTCAGGGGAGCACCAATTGGAATATGTTGTTTTGCTTCTTTATGCCCGTGGGTCCAGGCTGTCCCCGTGGTGGCTATACCACTACACACGACCTGGCCAAGACACACAAAGGGAACAGTTTCAAGGCTCACAAAGTTTCAGTGTGGCTAACAAGAAGTAGCATGCTGCACATCAAATAATGACATTCTTAAGCAGCCCCCACAATGTATCTGCACTACACTCAAGTGATGATGAAGATGAAAATAAAGGGACTTCTAGCGTGGGTCTCTAGCCTGCCAGGTGGCTAGGACTGCAAGCTGAAGGTGAGTGAAAGAACAAGGACCACAGTAGGATGTTTGCTACACCAGGCAGGTCTTTGAAAACACAAAGTTCTGCTAATAAAACAATTCATGATAATTCAAGAAATTACAATAGAACAAACAAAAAATGAAGATAAAACAGTGACTAGGAATGAATACAAATGCTTTATTTTATTAAATGCTTGTATGTGCAATCTCCTAGGCTAAGCATTTTACATGCTTATATATTGTCTCAACAACCCCTTATGTAATATCAGCTGTCATAAAAAAACAACACTTCTAGAGTGCTTTCTATATTCCAGGCTTTTAAATTTGCATATTAAACATGCTTATCCTCACACAACCACCCAAGAAGATAGATAATATCACTACCTCCATTTTACACATAAGAAAACTGAGACACAGAGACCACACATCTTGCCCAAGGTGCAGGAAGCGGCTGAGGCAAGATTTGAACCAGGTCATCTGGTTCCAAAGTCCACACGTTTAATCATTATGCTACATGTAGTTTCATTATCACTGTCAAGATACAAAAATGTTTTTCACAGGATTAATATTACATTGCTGTTTAAAAACTATATGTTAAAACAGTAATGTGCTTTGAGCCATATTTTTAATCTGTTACAATTAAATTGATTCGAGAGTCCTCCTTTTCACATAATCCTCTCCAGATACTTCTTTTGATAATCAAAAGAGATTCTGCTTGACTGGCTCGTACAAAACAGCCTGAAAGTTTGTCTACTTTTCTTTCATGTTCCTCCTCCCTTGTTCTGTCAGTCTCAGAAAGCATTCTGTTCAGTGACAATTTATATAACCCAGAGACCTTGAGGCCAGTGCACTGGGAGCCACACGAACATTCAGAGCTTAGGGTGGTCCCAGGGGCCATTCATGCCCACAGTGAGTGTATTTTAGTGGTTCCCTAAATTCATGTTGGTACATGACCATGGCTTAGGACCAATAAAATTCCAAAAAACAACTCCAGCATATAATCTCAAGCTTACACAGTTCTTTTTATTCCAAGTGATAATAGATATTGTGGAAAAGAAAAATGTGAGTTTTTAAATAAACAAAAGAGGGCTTAAAAAAATTCTTAGACAATTACAAGAATAGAGAAAATGAACGTTGTCAAATACCAGCATGCACTGTATAATGATGCTTCTGTCAACAATGGACAGCATGTATAAGCTGAAAAATTCCTGTTTCCTAGTGATGTATTCGCATTTCTGGTGATGCTGGTATAAACAGAAGTAGTGTGCTGCCAGTTGCATAAAAGTTAAGCGCATCCTGTTATGTATAGTACCTAATATTTGATAATAATAAACAACATTACTGGTTTATGTGTTTACTGTACTATACTTTTTATTGTTATTTTAGAGTATTCTACTTGTTAAAAATCCAGTTATCTGTAAAACATCCTCAGGCAGGTCCTTCAGGAGGTATTCAGAAGAAGGCATAGTTATCCAAGGAGATGACAGCTTCATGCATGTTATTATCCCTCAACACATTCCAGTGGGACAAGATATGGAGGTGGAAGATGGTGATACTGATGGTCCTGACCCTGTGAAGGCCTAGGCTAATGTGTGTGTGTGTCTTAGTTTACAACAAAAAAGTTGTAAAAGTATATTAAAAAAATTAAAAATAGAAAAAATAGTTTTGTACAGCTGTACAATATATCTGTGTTGTAAGCCAAGCGTTGCTATAAAAGAATAAAAAAGTTAATACAAAATATAAAGTTTATAAAGTTAGAAAGTTACAGTAAGTCAAGGTTAACTTACTACTGAAGAAAGAGGAAAATTTTTAAATTTAGTGTAGTGTAAATGCTCAGTGTTTATAAAGTCTACAGTAGTGTACAGTATTGTCTGAGGCCTTCACACTCACTCCCACTCACTCACCGACTCACTCAGAGCAACTACCAGTCCCACGGGCTCTATTTATGGTAAATGCCCTATACTGGTGTACCATTTTTTATCTTTTAGACTGTATTTTTACTCTCCTTTTTCTATGTTTAGGTATGTTTACATACACAAGTACTTACTATTGTGTTACAATTACCTACAGTATTCAGCATAGTAACATGCTGTGCAGGTTTGTAGCCTAGGAACAATCAGCCATACCATATAGCTTAGGTGTGTAGTGGGCTGGACCATCTAGGTTTGTGTAAGTGCAATCCATGATGTTCACAAAATGATGAAATCACCTAATGACAACTTTCTCAGAACATATTCCTGTTGTTAAGTGATGCATGACTCTATGTTAATAAATTAGAGTAAAGATTAAAGATATACAATTAGAAACATGAAATACTATAAAAAGAGCACCACTAAGTGCTAAACTGAACCATAATATATTCAGGCATAACAGTAAGTTTCTCCAGCATATGTGCTTGTGGCGGGTTTTTTGGAGGGAGACAAAAAGTGAACATCTTTACTTATACTAAAGCTCTTCCAAATCCAGTCGCTAATATTATTACAAGCATAAAACCTTTAAGCCCATGAGAGTTTACCTGAATTTCGGGTGAATTATTTGTTAGACCCTCAACTACAAACATCTGGGCCAAAGAGATGCTTCTTCTTGGAAGGGGTATGTCCGGACAGTACACTTCACAAGTTTTTTCTGAATCTTCTTTGGCAACAACTTTCTCACAAAAGTAAGTATTCAGAATAACAGGGCAACTTCCATTTGGAATAATTAGTTTTTGCCTGGAAAAGAGAAAGACATGCAACAGTTTCTTTACAATACTGGAGTCCCCTCATATTGTTGCTAAATCAGGAACGCAAAGAGCAATGACTCGCCTGCTATGGACAGCAAGAGCCAAGCCCACCCACAGAAGGACAGCTGTCCTTCACGCTCCAGCATGACCGCCAGTGAGTCTGACCTCATTGTTCTAGTGAGAGCCCTGTGTCAGGAAGGGATGGAAGAAGCCTAAGTCCTTGGACTTGCGCTCCCTTGTGCCCTCCCAGTATGGCTTCAAGACTCCTCAGGGGGAAATACAGAGGATGAACAAAAACTGTCAACAGCCTCAAAAAAGTGCCCAAACAATGAAATAAAATGTACAAATAAAAACTTCAGACATTTCGACAGCTCTAATCTTTCAAAGAACATACCATTAAATGCCAAAGAAGCATCTACCTTTGCTATCAAACTGACTATAGTTGCTCAGTGCCTCGCATTTGAGTATTAACAGAAAAGGAGTCAGGAAACAGAGCAGAAAAAATTCTCCTGGTTCTTCTCAGTCCCTGGACAGGAGAAAACACTTTAATGCCTATTCCTTATAATAGGGTACTGCTTAACATTAAGAAAAATTTGGGATCCGGGAGTGGTGGTTCACACTTGCAATCCCAGCACTTTAGGAGGCCGAGGTGGGTGGATCACGAGGTCAAGAGATGGAGACCACTCTGGCTAACATGGTGAAACCCTGTCTCTACTAAAAATACAAAAATTAGCTGGGCACGGTGGTGTGTGCCTGTAGTCCCAGCTACTCGGGAGGCAGAATTGCTTGAACCTGGGAGGCGGAGGTTGCAGTGAGCCGAAATCACGCCACTGCACTTCAGCCTGTTTGACAGAGTGAGGCTCTGTCTCAAAAAAAAAAAAAAAGAAAAAGAAAAAGAAAAATTTGTGACTTCTGATTCTGGGAGGATGGTGTACCACACTTTTCCCCATTCCTCTCATTAAGTACAACTAAAATGCTTGACAATATATGTAAAGTAAACCTAAGAAGACACTGAGAAGTGGAGAGGAGCCAGGCAGGCTAAAACCCAGAGACCTCAGGACCTTAGGAATGACACAGTGGCAAATTCCTGGGTTTTTTCTTTTTTTGAGACAGGGTCTCTCTCTGTTGCCCGGGCTGGAGTGAAGTGGCATGGTCTCAGCTCACTGAAACTTTTGCCTCCCTGGTTCAAACGACTCTCATGCCTCAGCCTCCTGAGTAGCTGGAATAACAGGCATGCACCACCACGCCTGGTTAATTTTCATATTTTTTTAATAGAGACAGGGTTTTGCCATGTTGGTCAGGTTGGTCTCAAACTCCAGACCTCAAGTGATCCACCCACCTCAGCCTCCCAAAGTGCTAGGATTACAGGTGTGAGCCACTGTGTCGGCCCTGAGTTTTCTTTTTGCCTCTTATATCTCAGGTTTTGAGTTGAAGGAGCCAGCAACCCGGAAACAGCAACAGGTGCTGACAAAAAAGCCCTACCAAAGCCTATTCTCTTTAACCAAGGACCAAGGAAGAGGCAGCCTAGCAAGGCAGAAAACTCTTGGATGGTAACTGCTCTACTCTAGGTAAACATCATGGAAAACCTATGACTTGTCCCCATGCATGCTAGCATAGGCCAAGTGAGGACCTGGACTCCCCCCTCACTGGGCTGTAATGAGAGCTCCCAGTATTCCAGCTGGCGTATGAGAGAAGGTGGGCCAAGGAGCTGACATCCTTTTCTTTTCCTTCTTTTTTTTTTTTTTTTTACATGGAATCTCGCTCTGTCACTCAGGCTGGAGTGAATGCAACGGCATGATCTCAGCTCACTGCAACCTCTGCCTCCAGGGTTCAAGCGATTCTCCCACCTCAGCCTCCTGGGTAGGTGGGACTACAGGCACCCACCATCATGCCCAGCTAATTTTTGTATTTTTGTAGATGAGGTTTCACCATGTTGGCCAGGCTGGTCTCGAACTCCCTACCTCAGGTGATCTGCTGCCTTGGCCTCCCAAAATGCTGGGATTATAGGCGTGAGCCACCACGCCTGGCAGAGCTGAGACTTTCATCCCCCACAGGCCTGCAATGAGTATCCCCCTTGTTGTGACAGTGGAGAGACTACCTGGGGGCCTAGGCTTCACCTTCACTTGACAGTAGTAACCAAGCACCCTTCCATGCCCCTCTAGGGTGTTGCCAGAGGAAGTGTGGCAGAGAATCAGGATTTCTACCCTCTACCCTCCTACCCTTCCAGTGTTGTCAGCAGAAGACATGTGAGGAATGGCTGTGATGTCTGCCAGCAGAGGCTTAGCAGGGAGCTTCAGGAGCAAGGAAACTCTCTCTCTCTGAAGTGTCAACTGAGGAACCTGGACTTCCCTCTCCACCTGGCAGTAACAACCCCACTCCACTCCTCACTTTTTCCTACTAGAGCAGTGTCAGATGAAGCTACCTAAAAGAGGTTTAAATAAGATCCAGAGTTTTAAAATACAATACTCCAAATGTCCATGTTTCTATCAAAATCACTTGTTATATATACCGAGAACCATGAAAAATCTCAACTTGAATGAATAAAGACAATAAATACTGAGAAAACATAAATGTTAGAATCATCTGGCAAAGATTCTAAAGCAGCCATTTTAAAATGCTTTAATAAGCAATCTCAATGCACTTGAGACAAATGAAAAACACAGTAGGTCTCAGCAAAAAATAACAATAAATATTTCTTAAAAATGGAAGTTTCGGAACTGAAAAATAGCGAAAACAAAAAACTCAGTGAATAGTTTCAACAGCAGAAGGAAAGAGAAAGATAACAGAATCAATAAACTCCAAGACAAAAATAGCAAAAAATTACCCAATATAAATAATAAAGGGAAAATAGACTTAGGGAAAAACACCCAAATGGAACCAAGGACCTGCGAGAAGAAAAAAATAGAAGGCTATAGATAAAATAACACAGGTAAATACAATACATTTTCCTACTCCTCCTGATTTTCCAAATTTTTATTATAATAAAAAATAAAACACTGTCTGAGGTGGTTCTAAATGTATGCAGAGAAAATATTAAAGATAATCATAAATGAGGAGGGAAAGGGAATATAAAGGGATAAGGTTTCTATAATTCACAGAAACCGGTAAAATGTTGATCCAGTAGACTGTGCTAAGTTACATATATGTAATATCCAGAGCATGCATTAAAATATCTATAAAAAGAGATACACACCAAAACATTATAAATAAAATTCTAAAAAATTTAATGTACAAGTAACCCATATGAAACAGGAAAAAGAAAACAAATAAAACCAGAGAACAAAGAAAACAAAAAGTAAAAAGGTACACTTAAGTCCTAATGTATCAATAATTACATTGAATATAAATGGTCTAAATCAACCAATCGGAAGACAGAGATTGGCAGAGTAAATTTATGAACCATCAATATGCTGTCTACAAGAAACTAACTTCAAATATAGAAATATGGGTAGGATAAAAATAAAAAATGGGTAAAGATACATCATGTAAACATTGATTAAAATATAGTGGGGGTGCTATATTAATATTACATGAAGCAGATTTTGGAGTACAGAAAACTCCAGCTATAGAGGGCAGATAGAACTAGAGAGAATATCAGAAAGAATACAGAAGGGCACAAAACCACCATCAATAAACAGGTTCTAGCTGACATTATAGAACACTCCACCAAACAACTTTTCAGGTGCCCACAAAATGCATGCTAGGAGAGACCATATTATGGGCCATAAGACATATCTAAACAAATTTAAAAGAATTGAAATCATATAGAGTATATTCTCTGATCACAGTGGAATCAAAATAAAAATCAATAACTGAAAGATAGCATGAAATTCTCCAAACACTTGGAAATTAAACAACATATTTCTAAGTAATCCAAGAGTCAAAGAGGAAGTCTCAATGAAAGTTTAAAAACAAACATTGAACTAAATGAAAATAAAAATTTAACCTATTAAAACTTGTGAGAAACAGCTAAAGTAATACTGAGAGGAAATTTTATGGAACTGAAAGCTTACATCAAAAAAGAAAAAAGTTGGCGGGAAGCAGTGGCTAACGCCTATAATCTCACTTTGGGAGGCTGAGATGGGTGGATCACGAGGTCAGGAGATCAAGACCATCTGGCCAACATGGTGAAACCCCATGTCTACTAAAAATGCAAAAATTAGCAGGGTGTGGTGGTGCATGCCTGTAATCTGAGCTACTTGGGAGGCTGAGGCACAAGAATCGCTTGAACCCAGGAGGCACAGATTGCAGTGACCGGAGATCATGCCACTGCACTCCAGCCTGGGTAACAGAGCTCTGTTATCAAAAGGAAAAACAAAACAAAACAAAACAAAATAAAGAAAATGTCTCAAATCAATATTCTAAGTTCTTACCTCAAAAAACCTAGAAAAAAGCAGAGCAAAATAAACTCAGAGCAAGTAAAAGGAAATAATTTTTTTTTTTTTTTTTTTTTTTTAAGACAGAATCTTGCTCTGTCGCCCAGGCTGGAGTGCAGTGGCATGATCTTGGCTCACTGCAACCTCTGCTGCCAGTGTTCAAGCGATTCTCCTGCCTCAGCCTCTTGAGTAGCTGGGATTACAGGTGCCTACCACCATGCTCTGCTAATTTTTATATTTTTTAAGTAGAGACCAGGTTTCATTCACCATGTTGGCCAGGACCGTCTCAAACTCCTGATCTTAGGTGATCCACCCACCTCAGCCTCTCAAAGTGCTGGGATAGGCATGAGTCACCATACCCAGCCAGAAATAAATCTTATTAAAGAGTAGAAATAAATAAAATTGAACAGAAAAACAAAGAGGAAAAAGCAATGCAATAGAGTTATTTTGAAAAGATCAACGAATTGACTAAAAAATGAAAAAGAAAATATAAACTGCCGATATCAAGCATAAGATAGAAACTGTCACTATGGGCTCTGTACACATCACAAGGCTAGGTGTAGTAGTAGCAAGTCTACATACATACATTCTAACAACTATGGGCAAGTCTACATACATACATTCTAACAACTTAGATGAG